TATGAATGATCTCATGTTCAATTCTTGTGATTTGGGCTACTTCAACTCTTGCATTTCACCCACACACTAGTAGGTGATGCTCCGATTCTTTCATGGATGAACTCTTGCTCAAATCTTGTGATATAGCCTAGTGTAACTCTTACATTTCACTCAAATACTAGTAGGTGATGCTCCGATTCTTTCATGGATGATCTCATGCTCAATACTTGTGATATAGTCTAGTGTAACTCTTGCTTTCCACTCATATGCTAGTAGGAGATGCTCCGATTCTTCTATGGATGATCTCATGATCAATCCTTGTGATTTGGGTCACTCAAATCCTTGCTTTTCACTCCCATGCTAGTAGGTGATGCTCCGATTCTCCTATGGATGATCTCATGCTCAATACTTTTGATGTGCTCTAATGTAAGTCTTGATTCTCACCCATGTGCTAGTAGAAAATAATCTGATTATTCCATAAGTGATTTCGTGCTCAAGACTTGTGTTTTGTGACTAGTCTAGCTTGTGCTTTCTACTCACATAGTGGATGATGACATTCCATTTCAAACTTGGTTGCATGCATGAGCCATGGACATACGTTTGAGCAAGTCTCACTCACATGCATGGCTCAACTCTCACATGATGATGTTCCGGTTCATATTTAGTTGATCTTTCCTCCATGTGCATGTGTCCTTCACTAGTTCAAGCTTCCCATTGTCAAGTTCATGTGTGTTGTGATGTTTTGGTTCATACTTGTTGATCTTTCCTCCATGTGCATGTTCCTTTCACTAGTTCTAGCTTCTCATCGTCGAGTTCATGTATGTTGTGATGTTCCGGTTCATACTTAGTTGATCTCTCCTCTATGTGCATGTGCCTTTTTCACTAGTTCAATCTTCCCATTGTCAAGTTCACGTAGGTTGTGATGTTCCGATTCATACTTTCTTGATCTCTCCCCTATGTGCATGTGCCTTTTTCACTTGTTCAATCTTCTCATTGTCAAGTTCATGTATGTTGTGATCTTCCGGTTCATACTTTGTTGATCTCTCGTCCATGTACAAGTGCCTTTCACCAGTT